CCCCAAAACCCCAAAACCCCAAAACCCCAAAACCCCAAAACCCCAAAACCCCTTCTATTGACTCAAAACTGAATATGAAATATTTATACAACCTTAGTAATGAAGTTTGCTAAAGCTTCTGCTACTTCTCAAGTTCCCATTACGCCCAATCATCTTATAGGGCTTGACTCTTAAGGGAGAATGATGCCCAGCTGGGACAATGTCAACATCTGTACAATTTAAGTTAGATTTTGACACAGAATAAGGAGTGAATTTGATCTTCTTCTTCGCTTCAGTGTACATCTGTGGTCTCTTATAACAAATATGGTCCTTTTGAGGAGTGATGTACTTATATGGTCCCTCTTGAACTATTTCTTTACTCCTCACCTCATCAATTCTGTGCTTCTGTTTCTCTCTCTTAGTTTTGTTTCCTCTTTTCAAAATCTTCTTAGTGATTTCATCAAGCTTAACATTAGCATTTCTGATTTCTTTCATTATCTCATCTTTAAAAGGAGTTCTTTTGAGTAAGTTCTTATTCTCAGAATGCTTGAATGCCTTCTTCTTTTTAGGCTTAGAATCTGATATTGAAACATATGGTTCTCTCATGCTTCTTTCAACATGACCTTCAACCTCCATAGCACCTTTTTGATCGCCAAATGTGCCTGTTTCTTCTCTATGGTTGCCATGAGTTTCAATGATCATGTCTAATTTCTTTCTTAGTTTCCGATTTTTAAAGGAACATTTCTGAATTTCTACTTTCAGTTTTCTTCATTCTTCCTTTCTTTCCTTGTTCGATTCTTGGAGTCTCTTCTCAGTATTCTTCAAATGCTTCTTGTTTGATAGCAATTGCTGATTTAGATCATCAATAATCTCAGACTTTTTCTTATTATCTGATCTCTCCTTTTCTAAGTGCTTCTGGAGAATTCTTTCATTTTTGCTATCCATGCTCTCATCTTTCCAAGAAGTAATTGATTTCTGACTAAGAATGCTAAATCTGTCGATCTTGCCTGCTGCAGGAGCTTCCATTGTGTTGTTTCTAACAATCTTCCTCTTCTGCAGGATCTCATACTGCTTCTTCAGGTCAATATATTCCTGCGTCTTATGATCTAGGGCAGCCTTTAAGACATCTTTGCTAGACCTGAGTTCCAAAATTTGTTTGTTATATTTCTGAACGGTATCAGAAATCTTCTTACGAGAGTCTAATTCAGTCTGCAGTTTAGCTCACTGAGATTTATACTTCTTCAATTCTGAAAGAAGGCTGACTCTTTCCTCTTGGATCGCATTGAGATCCTTCTTGAGTCGGCTCTTCTCATCATAACAAGCTTCAAGCTTTTGGTTGGCTTCTTGAAACTCATCATTGAGGATTATTCTTGCTTCTCTTTCCAAGTCAAGATCTTCTGAAATCTCTTCTTTTTCTTTGAGTATTTTCTGCAAGTTTAGGGTAAGTTTACTGATCTCTGCAGATTTCTCTTGAAGGAGCTGACTCTGGTTGGTCTCTACCTTCTTGAGGTCTGATATCTTGGCTTCAAGAGCAGTGATTTCATCACTATGTCTCTGCTCCGACTCAATCAGCTGAGCTTTAGCTTGCTCTTTTTGGTGATTGGCAATTGAAAATTCCTGTTCAAGATTCTTCATATCAGTTTCGAGCTTCTTGTTTTGAACTTTCAGATGATACAGCTCCATTTGTTTTGATTTAAGATCATATATGACTCCCTTGTTTTCTTCAGCAAGAGACTCCTTGATGTCAACAAAGCGATCAATGTAGCCACTGATTTGCCTTCACTCAGTTTCAGACATTTCACTGCCTTCTGAATGGGGATAATTTTGAGTAAACTCTTTTTCATCTTCTTCCTCATCACTCGAAATATATTTGAAAGGAGTGGCTGGAGGATGTATAGGCTGGATCTCTATTGAAGCTTCCTCTTCACTCTGTAATGCTATAATTAAGTCAGTATATAGTTACAATCTGAGAAATAGTGCAAAGAGTACTTACTTCCAGACTTAAAAAATTCACTAGTAGCTTCAGGAACGAGATGATCTAAATCCCTGTCCATTGCAACTTCTATTACTTCTGGATCAGTGTTCATGCTGTCTAAACCTCAATTAAAACCAAAAACCTAACAAAATTCTCCTCAGCTCACAAAAATCTCACTCAAATTTTCCAAAAACCAAATTCCATCTCCCTCCTTCCCCATCTCTAGGGTCCAAATGGTGCTCTGAATGCTCAAAATCAGCTCAAACCCCTCTAAGATCCCTTCTTTCTTCCATTTATGCTTACCTTTTAGCTCAGACACCTCAGAAACTTGCTCTGAAGCACAACAGGAATCTTCTACAGAGACTGTCTCCTGTATGTGATCAAGATTAGGCGAAACGCCTTTGGGCGTTTCAGCTGCTTCAGGACTAGGTGGCGTAGGAGAGCCACGAGAGAAAGAGTCATTCGAGCTCGAAAATATTTTTCCGAAACGATCAAAATCACAAGGAATATCATCAAAGTCCCTATCTTGGTATTCATTCTTTTGACTATTCATCGCTTCTACTTTTGCTAATAATTGATTATCAATTTTAGCTAAAAAATTGGGGTTTTGGGGTTTTGGGGTTTTGGGGTTTTGGGGTTTTGGGG